GGCTGTGCTCCTCCGGTTCCTCTTTGCACAAAGGCGGAGGTACCGGTCTTGCTGCTGGGTTGCATCAAGTACCGCAGCAATTTTCTAATGTTGGGATTTCTCGCACATACGGCAATAAAACCTTCTGAGCCACTTGTGTGGGTTGTAGGCTCAAGCTACCACTAGAATGAAAGCATCACTAGCATTCAAAAGTGACCAAAACATCAGTCAGAAAGCAGAGGAACTGAGGAATGGTCTGTGGTGACCACCTGTTCGTGCAATTGGGCCTAAAAATGATTTAAAAATCAGTTTAATGCTAACTTTTCACCACTGGAGGGCATCAATCCCCCTTCCCACTCATATGAAGTCAGTTTAAATGAGGAGAGTGATCATAGGGCATAGCGGGCAACTGCCCGCTGGGCCGACTCTTTCATCTTTTATGGGCCGGTGTCTGTTATTTATTTATTTTTTTCCTGGCCTCTAGTTTTTGCCTACAACTTGTTTGCCCCGCGCCACGCGACGAGACGCCTCGTAAAAGTTGGTGGATTGGCCAATTGGTCATAATACACTGGACGCAGAGCCGGATTAACGCAAAGGCAAAGTAGGCACGTGCCTAGGGCCTGATTGGCTGGATGGGGCCCAGACAAAGGGACAAAATTAAAAATAAATAAATCAAAAGTAAAATGTACAAATGTCCTGTCATGATCAGAGGCAATAAGACGCAGCGTTCTCAAGCACAAACCGCTTTAAATGTCCATATACGACCAAACTTTCAGTGATTTCAAAATGCTCTAAAATAGAAAATTGCTGTTTCCACAGGGTAATTCCACTTTAGATCAACCGTATACAACCCCACAGTGATACCATATCAATATCAAGTCATTCTGATGTTGCCTTCCAAAATAAAGACCTTTTAAATTGCCCATATAAGACCAAACTTTCAGTATCACTGTGGGGTTGTATACTGTTGATCTAAAGTGGAATTACCCTTTGGAAACAGCAATTTTCTATTTTAGAGCATTTTGAAATCACTGAAAGTTAGGTCAATTATGGGCAATTTACAAAGGCCTTTATTTTTGAAGGCAACATCAGAATGACTTGATATTGATATGGTATCACTGTGGGGTTATATATTGTTTATCTAAAGTGGAATTATCCTGTGGAAACAGCAATTTTCTATTTTAGAGCATTTTGAAATCGTTAAAAGAGTCGGTCAAATATGGGCAATTTCAAATTGCTGTGGTTTGATAGTGTTGATACAAAATGCAACTACTCTTTGGAAATATGACTTTTGCTTTGAAGAGCATTCTGAAGTCATTGAAAGAGTAGTTCAAAAATGAAAATTCACAGGGCTTTTACTTTGAAATCCAAAATAAGATGGCCTTGATATTGACAGGGCGCTAATAGTGAACAAGCCTAAATTATTTGTTATTATGTTCTTAGAATTTCTGATAATTCACTCGAAGTTGAATTTTATTTTGAAATCCGGTTTCCCCAGATCCATTCCCGTAATAATTTGAATAGACGGGAAACAGAAAACAAACTGGAGGCTGGCTTGACTGCAATGCTGGAATTGGAGGCTGACTTGACACCAGTGGTCTGCAGAGGCTGTCAGCAGGAGCCTCCAGAAAGGGTGTTAAGCTACCCACTGATCCTGCAAAGTGGTACCAAATTGATGACAGGATGTGTGAGTACTTTGCACTAAACCATCCCTCTCAAAATATTGGATATTTCTCTGCATCACAGAGGAAATCTGGAGACATAAACCGAAGCTTAACCAAGGAATATTTCTTTAGACGTGTTTCTGCTGTGATTGAGGCATGTGATGCTGGAAAGATGAAGATTATCCCGGAGTGGAGAATGCTAAATGGTTTCCTTAGTAAGTGTTGCTGGTTTTATTAATTTTTTATTAATGTTCAGATAGCATAACAAACAATAAGTTCACACTCAGAAAATTGACACAGAATTTCTGATTCAGCAGAGGCAACAACAGCCTGAATGAGCATAAAGCAGGATCGAAACTTAAGATAATGTTTTCATTTTATTAAAATACTTTCTTTTAAGATTATAGATTCTATAAAATTTATACTGTAATAATTTAAGCTGCGTGTTTATAGTTTGTTTTGCGCCTTTAAACATGCTTCAGTCCATTAAAATTCATCTATTTCTTCTTGAATGTCTTTCCACTATCATGTGATTAATTTGTCAACATTTATAAATGTTGTAAGCTATTGTATTTAGCAGAAAATCTTTTTAATTAAATGTGTTGATTAAATGTAAACAGAGCAAATAAGATAATCATGTTTGCTCTGTTTACACAGTTTAACGACACCTAGTGGTTATTTACTGGTACTACTGCCTTGACATTGACACTCCTAATGGATAAGATGAGGATAATTTATTAGCATTTAAAACAGCTGTGTAATGACGTATAAATTAGTAATATCAAAAAATAGTCTGATAAAATGTTTAACATACAACAAACGACTTATTCTGGCACACAAACAACCAATTTGTAACCAAAGACTAGTGTATGTAAAACGTGAATGAACTTTTTTAAGTAATTTTGGTAAGTTTCAGGTTTCAATTCATTAAATAACATCGAGGGGGGGGGGGGGGGGGCGGCTCTGGCTGGACGGTAACTCAGATAGAATAACTATCACACCACGGTGTGACGTGAAGACCATTTTTGTATCCATCTCACGCTCATTGCGTGAGCATTGGCAGCCCTGTGAACACATGCAGGTCTGTGGCTCATCGGTTATTTCCCTCATGAACTCATAAGTCATATGGATCATGATACCTGCTTTTGTGCCTCTGCACCAGCTTCCACCACTCGCCACAAATGTGGGATGGGGTTCAGAGACACCATCACATCACCGAGTGCCAGAAGCAGCAGTCCTCAAAAGGTCCAGGTCATCCACTGGTAGGTTTAAGGAGGTGTGGCTTGACGGGTTAAAACAGCTCTTCTCAGAACCACCCGTTTCTGTGTGAGCCTTACATTTACAGACAGGCCAGGCGTTTGGCATGGTACAGTACACCCAGATCTCTGCCTTTATTCAACAAGGTAAATGTGCTTTTAAATTCTAGGGCTGCTTTAATAAAAGGAAAAGAACTGACTCAAAATCACCAATTTGCAAACGAAGACACAAAAACTTTAATTTAAATAGAAGAAAAGAATCACATAAAAAACTGTACAGAACATTGAATTAACGTTCTTAAATAAAAGACCTCCCAAAACAACTCGATTCAAAATGAACTGGTAGGGTGTTTGATATTTTTTGTGCAAAAAAGATGATTTTCTCCAAACTGCACATTTTCATCGTGGAGCGCTTCAGTCCTCGCAGCTCCCTACGGCAAAGAAAACTCAAGAATCCCACCCGAAACTCAGCAAATAGTGTCTTTGATGAAGGAACCAAAACCCAATAATAATAAAATAGATTTATATTTTAAATATATATTTATATAAGAAACATGCTGTACATCATTTCAGAGATTAACAATCCCTTTTTGACACCTCTGTCTGTCTGTTAGCTTGTGCTTTCCTGACTCCCAGCAAAAACAAAAACAAACAAAAAAAATCCCCGTTTCTTTATTTACAAAATTAATATATAAAAAAACAGCACTGATCAAAAGAGTTTTTTCCTGAGCTGAGATGGTGTTTGGAGAGAGCTACTGACACACGCTTCACTTATTGTAGCTCCTGGCTGACAAGTTCAGAGCTGCTAGAAGAATAAATGTTCATAAGCAGCTTAAAGAGGAAAACTCGTGGCTTCAGCAGCTGAGCGTTTAGTAACAGAAACCCTAACTCTCCCTCTAAATGTTTAGGTTTTTTTTTAAAGTGGGGCTGTTTAAAGTCTGATATAGGTCAGCGTGTTCTGTTTAGAACGGATCCGACAGACGGGTCAAGCCAATCAGAGGAGGCCGCTTTCTGTACTGGTGACAACTGAAAGCTAACATTTTGGTTCGTTATGCTGCATTTCAGCTCAATGAAAATCTGAATGATGCAGCCATGGAAATTCCAACAACTCCACTTAAAAACAAACTCCTCCTGTAGAAAAGTCTAATTCTCAGGGTTCTGGTCTTGTTCCTGTTTCCTGCGAGTGTTCTTATATTAGAGATTCGTGTTATGGCACAACGTTATAACTATTGCAGACACAAGGAATAATTATAAAACCAACAGAAACCCACTGAAGCAGAGGAAACGCAGACAGCTGCTCTCCTGTTTACTACAACCCATCAAAAACTCAGTGTTTTATCTTTTCACAGTGGTCAAAAATAGTGCAAGAGAGGGAAAGAAAACATCTCCAATGTGAGTTGTCAGGAAAATTCCAGTTGAACTGCAAACTCAAAGGCCCATCAATGTGTTTTAAAACTGCTGCTGTGCAGAGCGCCTACAAGCAGCCAGACTCCTCTCATAACCTGGTTCGGACCATCGGCTAGCTTAGCTTGGTCTTGACAAGTTGTGACTCCCCATAAATGCACGACACAACTCAGCTAAAACCAAACCCAAACACTGTGAGAAGATCGCTGTTGCTGAGATGATGAAAAAATGAAGAAAGGGGCAAAAAGTTTGACAGAAGGCATTATACCAGCACACCATGAGGACAAACCCTGTAAATATTTGTGTAAGACAACATTCAGATTAATAATCCACTTTTGCTTTTTACTCGTAATCTCCAACTTAAACGCTGGATTAACTCTGGTAGAAACAGCAGAAGTAGTGGGCTTCTTAGTAGTAGCAGTAGTACAGTAGTGTGTGTGTGTGTTTGTGTGTGGGTGTGTGTGTGTGTGTCCTACCTGATGGGGTGCTACTAACCCCTAAGACAATAAACAGCTCTATACATTGATTCTTCAAGTAACCCCCCATTCATAAACAGAGAAGCCCCTCCTCTTGATGATGACCAACAGAAACCAGACCCCCCCCCCCCCCCCCCCCCCCATCTCCAGTCTGATTCAGGACTCTGTAAACTAGCAGATGCAACACCACCCTAGCTTGGATGGAGGGGATCTTTTTCGGGGGAGGGTGGGTGTGTGTGTGTGTGTGTGTGTATGTGTGTTGGGGTCACTGACAGTTGCTCCAAGCCAGCAGGAAACCAGCCAGAGCTGTGGAGCAGTGGAGGAGAGGTCCTAAATGGTGACGTTCACACAAGGCTCATCGGGTTTCCACGCATCCTTCAAAGCAACAAGCTGATGTTTTTTTTTATTGGCTATGAAAAAAATAAATCAAATGAGGGACATCAGAGGACAGCCTCTTTTCTCCTGTTTAGAAAAATAAGCCATCCTCATAAAACAACATCCCTCATAATTGCACTGGCCTTTGTGGCCTGTCACTACTGATCCAGCCTAAAGGCTGTCCACAGAGACACACAGAGTCCATCTCAGTAAAAAAAACCAGCGAGCAGATACTCAAACCCTGTGATGATTTGACACGTGCATCAGCTCGGCCTTTCTATCAGATGGTGAGAGACCTCATGGCCCAGAAGAGAGGGGTACTCAGATCCAGTCCGTATTGCAGTGGGACACTGGAGGGTCTAGAAATCCCAGCTAGATCAGATGGAATGAGTCCAGAAGGCGAGACTGAGACCGAGTCTAGGTGGGCCCGAGTCAGTCCACTGTGTGCTTCTCGTTTGTAGAAAATGTCACCGAAGCAGGTGATCAAGTAAAGGCAGCTCTGTGGATTCATCTTTAGGGGTGGGGGGTTCTCCTGCAGCCAGCATCATGGGGTCCAGAGTCTGAGTGACCCCCAGAGGATCGAGAGTCAGATTGGCCTCTTGTAGAGGAGCTGGGGGGGCAGGCTGTAGAAGACACGAGGAAACAGATTACACAATATAATCCTGGAAAACACAAATGATCATCACAAGACGATTTAAGCATGTTCTCTGCTAACCTGAAACCAGCAGGTGTGACTCACCTGAGAATAATAAACCCTGTTTGTGTCTCAGCAACAATAAACTCACAACTACAGAAGTTCACGTCCATCCCCAAAGCTGGCCTCAACAGGACGAAACCCAGTGCTATGGTTGCCTAGGTAACAATGATGATAGCTCCCATCCTAGTCATCAGTGACCTCAGTCAGTAACTAGGTCGAGCAGCACCAACATTAGGAAGGATGGAGTGACTAATGCACCTAACAGACACCTGCTGCTCATCATGAACCTGCCTCTACACATTCAGCAGCATCACTCACATGACCTCCACATGAGGGGGGGGGGGGGGGGCAGAACATGTAAACATCATGGCTGCCGTCAGCGCATGAGGGCGCTGGCGGCTCTGTGAGCTGCTACGGATGGAGTTTCTGTGATGGCTACACCCCCCTCAGTTAGCTCTCCATCACTTCAGGAACATTTTGAATTTATTACTGAAGCACATAAAGCGACACTTAGCAGCATCTGGTTTTGTTCACCTTTTTGCTGCAGACATGCTGTTTTTGTTCATGCACTGTCTAAAAGAACCTTACCAGAAAACAAAGAACCCCGAAGGTTCAATCCTGCCGTCTCCTTACCTGTGTGCGGATCGTTTGGATCGGCCCTCCTTCCCCCTCTGCTGCAGCTGGAACACTAAAGCCCTTTCTGCCTGAAAAGCTCCACTTTCCAAAGTGACTCTCATAGTGCAGCGCACTCCGCTGGCTCGCTCTGTGCCCCGAGCTCTCCAGGTGAGTGGCTGGGCAGATGCGCTCTGCGACAAGCAGAGGAGGGGGAGCCACGGAGCTGCTGAAGGAGAGCTGGGAGCTGGAGAGCTGCTGGCCCAGGAGTCCCTGGATGGAGGACGTTCGCTGTAGAGAGGAAAGCAAGCCTGCCTCTATCCTGCCCTCGGATTGGCTGATGAGAGCTAATGGGAGAGGTTGAGGGTGGTGAGGCCAGCTCTGGGTGGGGCCAACAGGGTTGTCAGTACCTAAAAAGGAAGACAAAATAATAATTCAGTCAGTCTGAAATTAACAACTGAAGAAAATGAACAGATATGTGAGAGCACAAACCCATGATGGAGGGCTGGATAGTGGTGATTGGTGGCTGGGGGAGACTGGAGGCTGGTGTGCTCTGAGTGGTGTGAATGGCTGGGTTAGTGGAGATGGAGGCAGAGCCACCCCCACAATCTGAGTCCTCAATGTTTCCTCCACTGTTACAGCCTGCACCACATCCTTTCTGCAGTCTGCAGGGGGCGACATCACCAGTTAGACCACGTGTCAGACACAAGGGCTCGCGGGCCAGATGTGGCATTTTTATGTAGCCCGCGAGATAAATGTCAAAAATATATTAAAATTGACCCGCCGGCCGATTTTACCGCAAATACTACAACTCCCATGATGCTTTGCGGCGTTAGCACGAAGTCGAAGTGCCCCCTCCTTTGTGTTTTTCCAGCGTCTGCTGCTGGTGTCTGCAGCTCGCTGTCTCGGACAAACTAAACACTCCTCTCACTCAGCGCAGAGTTTACTCAGCTATTTGCCGACGTTGAAGCCCAGAAACGGAGATTTTAACCGCTCAGTAATGTGTTCATGACTGAAAGAGAAAATTTTCCAACTAACTTCCAGACAGAGCTGATATAACTCCAACGAGCAGCGACACGCTCAAACCAGCACGACTTTGTGGCTGCTGTAGTTTTTATTTTTCCTCCCCGACACACAACAACGTGGTCAAGCTGCTCAGACGCTCTCCATGCTCACCAGCATAAACCTACGTGAGCAGCTGTTGTCATGTAATGTTGTCATTATTATGATGAAGATGAATAAAACAACAGGAGTCTCCTCCTCAGCTCAGATCAACCCCATGATGCAGGTATCTGGCTGGAACAGGTGAGCATCACAGTAAACCAGTGGAGCAAACTGAGCTTTAAATATGTTGGTTTTATGCTCTTTTTCTGCTCCAAAACATGAAAGTTAACAGGTGAGATGTTGCATTTTCATTTAAGATCAAATGATATTTTTATTTTGTTGTTGGCCCGTGAGAAAAGATTTAACCTACAGTAAACAGGAAGTGGAAAGGCTGCAGATAGATGAATAGAATAGAAAATCCCTTTATTGTTCCTCAGTGGGGAAAGCTAGATGTCACAGCAGCGATGAAACTTATTACAGGAGGAAAAAAGGAGAATAAAAATAAGATGAATGAATAAACAAGAAAACATAAATCCTGAATAGATTTTAAAAATGCTGATTATACCACAAGTAATGAATACCACTGATGCCTTTTATTTAAAACTGACTTGCTCGTGTGTAATTTGGTTATTCCACATTCAGTGTTAATGCAGAAATAAGTTTGTTACCAAATTAAAAGGTTCAAAATTGCACATATGTTGATAAAGAAAATGTGCTAATTTGGCGTCACTTTTTCAAAAAATATTAAGTTTGGCCCTCGACTTCGTCCCAGATTTTCATTTCGGCCCCGTGTGAGTTTGACACCCCTGGGTTAGACCACCGGCTCAGAAGGACGTGAACAGCTAAAGCCCCGAGTGAAAAAGGTGTACCTGTCCCAGCTTCTGATGAGCCAGGTGTAGATGTTGTGTGGACTGACAGGCCCCCCCCACACAGATCTCAGCTGGCCGTGCCCCCCAGCGTACGAGGTGGTGAGCGGGGACACGTAAATGGGATATCCGATGGGCTGATCACAGGAGGAGTTGATCATATTTCTCAGAGCTTGTTTGGCGTTCTGGATGCTCCCACGCTCTGGATTACGGTTACGCAGGAAGACCAGCTCCTGTTGTTGCCCCGCCCACAGCCCCCGCACACACTCCCTGTTCACCTGAAGGGGGCAGGACAAAGAGATGGTTACCTACAGAGCAGCTGAGCCTCAGTTAATGAAGCAGCACGTGTCCATTTAAAACTCTGGTCAGCATAAAGCAGAGACCTTGATGACTCTGAAGCTGAGGAACCTCTTGTTCAGCATGATGATCTTGTACTCATCGCTGCCGTCGTCCATGATGTGGCGCAGGGCGAGCAGTGAGGGCATGTTAGCTAGGATAGCGCTCCGCCACACAGGGTCACCCTCATGAGATATCAACATCTTCTCTTCGTTGGCAGTGATGGCGTCATAGAGAACCACTGGATCTTCGTACTCATCTGGAGATGTGAAGTGATCCTGGAGGAAGCGTGAATTAGAGTCACATTAATGTTTCTGTTTATGTTCCTGGTTTCATTTTTACTGCCTTTTGGTATGGTCCTTGGATAGACTTGAAATAAAATGTATCATTATTTATCACACACTAAGGCTGGGTGATATGGCCTAAAATCAATATCACGATATATTGAGGATTTAACCTCGATAACGATAAATGGACGATAACTACAGGTGTGCGCAGGGACAAAAGTTGTCCACTAGATGGGGCGGTCACGTGTGTTACGTTGAGTCACATTTTTACGTGACTCAAGGTGGTACAGCTTCATGAAGGGACATGAATGTTGCCAACCTACACACATCTTTTCATTTTTTTATTATCAAATTTACTGACATGGGGAAAATTATCACGACAAGAGTCAGAAATTTCGATAATGATAAGTTTTCGATTTATTGCCCAGCTCTATCCTACAGCTTGACTTGGTGTTTATGGTGTTTTCCTTTTTAATTACCGTCAAATTTATGTCCCGCTAAAACAAAAAGACATTCCCTGTTTTGCCATTACTTCAGACTTTTAAATTCAAGAAAGACTAAATAGAATTTCTGTTATTTGGTTCCTCGGTCGAGTATCGTGGACCAACCTGCCATGAACCTGGAGACTAGGTTGATCTAAAACCAGAGCCGTTGTTAAATGACACAAGTGGCTTGAATAAACCCCGCTCTTTCTAGGCAGCACTTTGAAACAGGTAATCTGTTACTTTGATCCTGTTCTAGCTACTTTAAAGATCAAGTTCACTGGGTTTTTTTTCAACACATCCAAGTGGTCTCTAGTATAACGAATGCCTTGTGAGTCGATCTCGGTGGCAAAAAAGCTCTGGCACTCCTGTTTCAGAAGGTAGGAGGGAGCCAGAGACGAGGCGAGCTTTAGACGACAGGACTTCAAGTCTTATTTCTTGATATCCAGACATCTCTCCTCTGACTGGCCAACAGCATCACAACTCTACCACTCACTCAGTTTGCTTTGCAACGTTGATGTTTTATCTCCACAAATAACACAAGCCTGGAGGAGTTCTGCTGTGCTGTGAATTTGCTAATGCTTCTACTAGCTGAGATGTGCTCTCTCCTGGATGTTAAATCTACAACAGCCTTCCCTGTCACGAGCCAAGATAAGTGAGCCCATGAATGTTAATTTTCAGTGTGACGTAGATCTGTGGTTCTTGAGCCAGAAACTAGAGCAACTTCACATTGGACTGCCCTCTGCTGTCTGAAAACTGTACCTAACGTATTTTATAGTTTGGGTAGAAACACTAGCGGGAGGCCGTTACTTCTTTAAAGCAACAGCTGTTTACTGTGCTGGTAGCTTATCTAAAGGCTAGAAGTTAGCTTTGTCAGTTTGGTGACCATCAATAAGCAAAAGAAGATCAAGTTTGCTTCATTGTTGGCATCATGGTGGAGCCTGAAACTAAAAGTAAGAGAGTGATGTCTTTGGAGGTGAAGCAAAGTGCTAAAATAAGAGTGAATATTGGTGTGGTCAACACTCGTTTGAGAGAGCTGAAGGAGGCTACAAAATCATTGACTGATGGTGACCTGGCTTTGTTACATGTAATTATAATATTTTTTATCCAACAGTGTGGATATTTTTAATTGGGGCTTTTTAGTATCAGTTAGTTTGTGTTAGTTAGCTCGTTAACAGTAGCTACAGCAGGCTGCAGCAGGGTTGTTTATGACAGTTGTAATTCTGCTTTGAACTAGTAGCAGTGAGAAGTGGCAAACTTATTAAGCATTACTTTGATGTGCTTCATGAATAAAGTAGGACTGGATCGGACTACCTGATGTAGCTTGAGGGACATTCGTACTCCTGGTGCCACAACCCGTTTCAGGAGGTCCATGTCTGCAAACACCCACTCATCTCTAGGAGACGTGATGCGAAAATCTCCTTTGAAGAGGGCGTGGAGGCCGTAAAGAAATGGCTCTAAACTGAGACAAAATGGTTGATTACTGCTGGTTGTATTATTAATTTAAATGATAAACTATTCTGGTTTGGTTTTACCTGGCAGACATGCTGTGGGATGCCGTTCCCAAAGCTCTTCTTCCAAGGATACACAAACCAAAACAAAGGTTGACGAGTGGGGAATCTCTTTCACAAGCTGCTGGCTAAAAAACAACAATAAAGTCAAAGTACATGAAGCTTTTTTCCGAATACAAAAAATCGCCAGGATCAAGCCCAGGTGAGAGCTTAGTGTCCATGTCTCACCGTCTGACGCCTGCTGTTACAGTACTGGATCCAGTCCAGGTAAACCAGACAGAAGGAGGAAGGGGTGATGCCTGAGGCTCTGTGGTCGTAGTCTTCATCGATGTTCAGGTTGAAAGTGGGATCGCTGTCTACGTAGTTGGACCCGAGACATGGACGCAGAGCATCCTGGACAGTCTCATTAGTCAGCCACTCGTCAAGCTTCGAGGAGCGACTCACATAGTAAATGATGCTCTGTTGGTGCCGAAACATTAAACAATTAAACCAAACTATTTACTATGACATATTAACTGTCCTACGTGGGCAAAAGAAATTCATATATTTTTTTTGTTGTAAATACAGAACACCAAAATTTATTTAATCCAAGGGTTTAAATCAAATTTATTATACGCTTATAAATAAATTATTTCTATATAAAAAGGTAAATTACATGGTAAAAAATAAAAATCAAAAAGTCCAATTTTAAATGCTTCATTAAAAACATGCCTGTAAATCAATAAATGAAAACTTTTCATGTTTTTTGTAAAGTATTGTCCTTTAAAACTAAAACTATATTACAAATGTATAATTGATTTTTTTCATATGAATTATAAAACCTAGTGTTTTGTTCTTTGTGTCCTTTTGACTCACTGACGTTCAGGATTCTGAAGTTTTGTTGACAATGACTTTTGTTTCCACTGTTGTGTATCAGTCAGATCTACAGAATTGTCAATAAACTCATGTCTCTTTTCTGGGGATGTAGCTTTGCAGAACATCAGGATGTAACTTAAAAATAAAATACCCTGAGTAGGGCTGCTCGATTATCGCAAAAATAATAATCACGATTATTGTGACTGAAACTGAGATCTCGATTATTTAAGACGATTTTTCAATTTATGTTGATTTTATTTGTTTTTATTCAGTCATAAAATTGCTCAGGGCACAATCAGGACAAAAATAAACTAAATAAATTGGATTTCTTGAAGAAATGCTGTTTGAATGCTGGATAGGTGTGTAAGTCCATTTAGCCAGAAGATGACTGACCTCTCTCAACCAGTCAGGGAGCTGGGAGGGAGTGGGGCACTTTCTCACCGTCTGACGGTCAATCAAATTTAACTTGTTTCTAGTTTTAAGTACAGTTAGTTCAAAAAGATCAAAAACAGGAGTTGTTATTGGCTCAATATTCAGCTTTTTATATTCATTCCTATGAAACTTGGTTAAAGTGTCCTTGTGTTGCCATGGTAACAGATGACAGGAGTCTGCTTTAACAAAACAATGTACAATGTCACATGACTCTTTTAAACTTTGAATAACATTTCTATATTAAAGTATGTTGATACAGTTGTGTCTAAAATGTTATTAAATGTTGTTGCTAAGCATGTTGCCATGGTAATGCAGAACACAATATCAAGTTAATACAAGACTCCTGGGACCAAGCAGGTTGAATTGATGCATCATATGCGTGGGTGCATATTTCCTTTTAGGCAAAAGACGATTGAAAACTCTCAGCCAATGAGAGAGCAATGAAGGAGGAGGGGGCGGTTCCTGCCTTCTGACTAGTGTTAAAATGTCAGCTATGCTGCTAGTTTTAAGTGTATAGAGCTCAGAAAGATAAGAAACAGGAGTACGTTATAGGCTCAATATTAGGCTTTGGGGATATCCTTATGCACTTGTGTTACCATGGTAACAGATAACACACTTAAAATTTAAAACAAGATTCCTGAGACCAAGCTGGTCGATTTGATGTATCATATGTGTGGGTGCTCAATCCTGCTTGGACAGAAAATGGTTGAACACTCTCAACCAATCAGAGAGCAGCACTGTTTCCCCGCTCTGAGTTAAAATAAGTGATAGGATTTAGCTGAAAATAGAGCAATCCCATTCATTTCAATGGGACCAAAAATCGCAGAAAAAGCTGAATATCTCAAAAAGTTTAAATTGTTTTAATACAAAAAGTCATTGCCGGCGTAAGCTGAACAAGCTGAACGTTTTGATACCAAAATTGTTTAAATAGTTGAAGAATTGTGGAAGTAGTTAAATGCCAAAAAACATAAGGAAGCAGAATAATAAGCTAACTATAAAGAGAAACAGGATCACTACAGCATTCAAACAATAAAGCGAAACAGGAAAACAATAGCATTCAAACAATAAGAAACAAGATGATCACTAAAATAACTCCTGATTCCCAGTATAAAAAGACCAATATACTTATAGCTCATAGTTTATGACCCAAGGGCTATAGACCTTGGTTTAACTCATTTAAGTCTAACCAGTACAGACCCAAATACCAATATCTTGCAAATACTGACAGCAAGAATTATACAGTGGCATTTATAACAAATAGATGCAAATAAATTGATGTTCACAAAATGTTGCATAACATTTATTTAGTCGAGTCAAGGTGCTGTAGGAGAGTGCACTAGCACCGTGTCCTCATAGAGATTATCAGCGTGAGGAACTTATTTCTATCTATTTATACCTTATTTATAAACTATTTATTTACAGCTCCATCAGTCAATGTAATAATTGTCCCAACCACAGCTGCACCCCCCATCCCCCAACCCGGTCTAACAGCAATCAGGGGCAAGCTGCATGTGTGTTTAGCGCGCCGCACGCACACATTTAGCCGTTTTTAGCGGCTCAGGAGCCCGCAGGTATGGTGTGTGTCACTCACTCTGGTTAATCCAACAGGGAGCTGGCTCTGAAAGCCATTTCCATAGCAACTGACACATCACTGCATCATTCCCTTTCAATGTCCTGAAGAACGGTACGGAGCGCAGGCAGAGTGTTTAGCTAACCTGCAGGAAATGTCAACGACAGTTATTGAGAAAGTAGCTAAGGGTTACCAGAGATGTTTCTGAGGTGTTCGCTAGGTACTTTTAACATTTAAAAAGTCAAGAAGGGGGTCTGAGAAGCTGTTAGAAATAGTGTCAAAGTCGCTAAATTGGCAACACTGTGGGAGGAGTGCTTCATTTGCAACTTGGGGCAGCGCAGGTGGGAGGAGCAAATAATCAGCTTGTTTTGTTTTTATAATCGTTCAAAACTCAGATCGTAATTGGGATTAAAATTCGATTGAGCAGCCCTAACCCTGAGGGTAATTATTATTTTTTCATATAGCAAATTTATCTGACATCAGTGGGAATTTTCATGGCTCAGAGTTTTACTGTAACAAGAAAGGATGGACTGAAGCACAGACACACAAGAGCACAACGACTTGGTCCTCAGTCAGCTAAGTGCTAAAGACAAGATGTATGATCCATCAAGAAGGACTCTCTTTAGACCTGTTTTGTACCTTGACGTAGTACGTGATGAGGATCTTTCGAAGGTCAAACACTTGCAACATGGAAGCTGCATTGTTGTCGCTGATGCTGTAACCCTCCAGGACATATTTGGTGGCAGCCACCTCCCAGGCCAACCAGCGCTGTCCAAATGCAGCATTGAACGACAACATGTGAGGCAGATGACCCGGTTCACAGCAGCAGCAGCCCTCGTCCTCCTCCACCCCCTCTGTGATGGCCTCTACCTCCCTCTGCTGACAGTAGGTACCTACACAGATGGAACATTTATTTTAGGTATTAATTAAAGTCAAACACTATAAATCTAAAATTTCAGCTCAAAATTTCTGTGAGTGCCTGATCTTAGTGAATAACATCGATTAACAGCATATTTTCTTAGCCCCCATCAAACCCACTACTGACCTCTGAACTCTAAACCCCTCAGCTGGAAGGTAACCAGGCCGTTTCCGATCTCAATGATGTGCACCAGAGCGTTGAGGTAATCGGACGCGAGGATGAAACAGTCGCCCGTGTTGTAGTTGCCCCAGCGCCCGAGTAGCAGGTCTCCACACAGGCTGTGCTGCAGGGAGCGTGTCAGGTGCTCATAGAAGATTGAATTCAAATTGTTGTCATCAGCGCCTTCGGGAAAAGCACACACCGTCACCATGGCTACAGAGTAAAACTAAAAAGACACCAAACAGAGATCATTAGGTGTGAAAGGACACTGTGGCATACCTGGGTTGCGGTCTAATTGGGTGGCGAGCCTGGTGTTTGAGTGATCGACCCGTTTGGTGCTGCAGAAAGTGACAATTAACTATTAGACAGATATGAGCAGTGGTTTCACTCCTGCACGAGTGGTTTTATTTAAACATACTTATAGTCTCGTTCCCAGAACTTGACAGGTCGGGTGTAAGAGGTGACAAACACGGCGCTGCCTAGAACAGGATTCAAGGGGGTGGAAAAGATGGCAGAAAAGATGGCCTGGATAAATAACACAGCCGAGTCTGAAGCAGCGCCGGTTAAGGACACTTCCAGGATTAAAAATAGTGGTTCTTTACAACAATCATTCAGTGAAAAGAAGCTCAAAATGTCCAAACTAGTCTGTTGTTTATGTTAGGTTTTGTAGACGCAGGTTTTGGATCTATTAGTGTGAAAGTTTAAAACTTTTCTTTCAAACTGTCAGAAATTCAGACAAATAAAAGGATACGGGGCACAGCGAAGGGTTGAGCAAAGGCATGAAAGGCTGAGCCCCAGGTGATCTGCCACGGGGCTATATAGGTCAGCACGAAGCGCAGCTTGTACAGGAGGTCCCACATCTGATGAGACAAGGAAAAACACAATGAAGCCACGCCACTAACTGTCTAAATGCTTCTAATGGTAGATAAATGTGTGCTCTACACAGCAGCTAACATTGAAATAAAACCCCTGAGGTAGGTTTTTACCTTGCTGAAAAGTATGGACATGAAGTAGTAGTCAATCAGGAAGGTCTCTGAGAAGTGTGGGTAGTCGAAATGAAAGAAGAGTGTGGTGAAGCACAGCGTGACATACTGCTGCGACGGCGTGCAGAAGGACGAACGCAGCAGCTTCATTCCTGCCACGGAGATGAAAAGAGCTCGGCTGCTGCAGGAAGACACGGAGACAAAGTCAGGGACACTTGAGCTGCCATAATCAAGACATTATAGACAAATCTTAGCTGAAAAGAAGTAACTTTAGTTGCTCTTCCAAACTACCTGATATTTATCAGATGCTACAAAAACGGCACAGATTATAAAAGAAAGATAAACATGAAGCAGCAGAAGGCTTACTAGATGTCTAGGTCTTTGTGGTTCTGGCCGACTGTCCGAGCTTCAGTTGTAAGAGAGTTCAGCACCACCGCCGGGTAGATGAAGTATTTCTCCACACACTGAAGCCACGCGTACAGCTTCTCAAACCACATCAGCTGAGCAGCATCTGGGACAGAGAGGAAGCAGTGAAGACCTATACCTGCATCTCTGTTAAATATGCCCAACTTTACATGTTTTTGTGTTAATGTTCAAACGATGAGAACTCGGCAGTTCCTTTCAAGCGTCCTACAGCCTACGCAGCAGAAAGCAGACTGAGGCGCAAGTAATGCTAAACATCAGGGAACAAATAGTTTAAAAAATCAAATATTAAAGTACACAAACAGAAATTTGTCTCAGTATCTAAAACCCAATTAGACATCCTAGTGAGAGACAGTCTTGATCTGACCACTTTTTCAGCAACAAGGAATTTAACGCATCGCTAATTAAACCTGAATAGTCAGATTAAAGTTATTTTATTGTTCCTGATAGAACAGGCCCACCTACACCTCCAATGCAAAGAAACGGATGACCAGCCAATCACAGTCAGAGTTATCCAAAAGAGTTCAAATGAAGGCAACTGGACTTCTTTGGTTTCTTAAAGACATTTTGCTTCTCATCCGACGAGCTTTGTCGATTCTAACTGGAATATGGGAGATATTAGATGCAGGAAGGTGTGACCTAGACTGAAACTGCTTAGGAATGAGATTCAAAGCTGCATCACAGGTGCTGGAAAGGTGAAATCTAAGCCCCCTTCCCTATTTAAAGTGGGGTTTTCACGTTTTAAATAGAGGAAGGGGGGAGGGCTTAGATTTCACCTCTTAAAAGAAAGAAACCCAGTAGCCCATGTTTAGCAAAAAAACCCACTTTGTTTAAATAAAATACCATAATTAAAATGTTGAGTCCAGTTGGGCTGGAGAGTGAGAAAAACACCACTATGGCGGCAACGCTGTTAAGCTATACAATGCCCAGTAGCGCATCTACATATTCATGTCTATGATTGGTGCAGTCGGCTCTCTTTTTTTCTCTCTTTGTGTTTATCAACATATCTTTCACTGTTGGCTGGCTCTGTGTTTCGCTGTGAACTGGGAATTAAGACTGATGATTCTCTGTGGCGATGCCAGAAGAGAAAGGAGCCGAAGGTGACCCAAAAGACAAAGTAGTTCATTTTGAAGGCAGCTTATCATGCAGCTGTCTTTTCCAGCTTGTTAAATGCCCAGTATACACACATTACAAGTGGCTGATACACTGCCTTTGCTGTCTGGTTTAAAATACCACCAAAATACAACATTTTAGCTCTTCTGTGGGGACATGTTAGCTCTGCGCTAGCCTATTAGCTAACAGCTGCATGTTATGGTGTCGGAATCGTCACCTGTGTGAGGTGATGGTGTTGGTTTCTTCCAACTAATAAATACTGATACAGAGGAACTTGTTGAGATAAAAACTACCCCCTTGTTGTTCCGTCTGAAAATCTCCATCTCAGGATGAATTAGAAAAGTCATATTTGTTGTTTGATAAAGTTAAATGCAAATCTTTATCACCAATTCCGATTTTTTGAAAACCACGATCGGGCCCGATTTCCAATCAGGTGATCAGATCGGAGCATCCCTAACTTTAAAGCGATTCTCTCAGACTGTGCATTTCATTTTGTCCAGGTAGTTTCTGCACCATCTTACTTCCCGTTTAAATAAAAGAAAAAACAACCAGACTCTCACCTCGGACCTCAAACTGACTGTACTCCTTGGATCGAAGCACAGGGTGAGCCAGGCAGAACCACGGCAGCTGTTTGCGGAGCTGAGGCAGGAGATAGTGTGTAAGGAAGCCGATGACTCCAGCCAGGATGTATAGAACAAAGCTGAGCGCCGGCTTTGGGTGAAGCAGAAAATTAAAAAACATTTATAAGAACCACTTCTGAACACCTGTGGAAGTATTCTTAGAGAACAGAACAAAAATTCAGCAAATGACCTGAAGAGCAATAAAAACTGTGCTGGCACTGATGGCAAAGGTGATAACAGCCATGAGGGGGCACATGACCAGGTCTGAGTGAAGAATCTCCCTCTGCAAAGAGTGAATATGAGCTTGGAGAAGAGAAAACAGTGCCACCAAAATCAGGCAAGCAACAGTCTTTACCACAGAGTTACGAAGCTTCTCAGGGAGAGGGTCCTTGATCTCCACAGAGGGTTCTTCAGGTGATCGGTTCTCAAGTTCTGGAAATATTTTAGACCGGACCAGTGACCTGATGTAAAAAAACAGAAACTCATTAGGAACATCAGTTTTCACAGGATGAGCTGTAAAAACGGAAAAGCCAGTCAGCACAATGAACATGTCCTCCACCACCGTTCTTCCAATGCATGAAGGTTACCAAGCCGACATCAGATGATTTAAATTATCCGGGGCCAGATTTAACAATCACAGAGAGAATACTGACCACAGAATGGTGGGGTCGCTGCTTTGGCGGCTGAGGTGATAGGACAAGGCCAGGAGAAGCCCGCAGAACACAGAGAACAGCACTGGCACATGGGCATCGCCCCACGGTGCCTAAAGACAGCAAATCAAACCCATGAGGGTCCAGGTTGGAGCATTTGAAAGTGGAGGAAGTTTGTGTAGCACCTACGTTAATAGCACCGAGGCAAAATCCATAAAGCAGAGCAGCCACCAGCATGCTGCGAGTGAGGCTGAAGAGAGATGAGAGAGGGCTGGTGGTGGCTGAGGAGAGAAGAGGAGAAACCATCGACACATAAATATTGGACAATGGGTTTCCATAGGCTCCAATTATAAGTTTTTGTGCTAAAATGGGAGGTGGCCACCACCGCCATTTTGACCGTGTCACAGGTTCCGTCAAGCCCAGACAATTCCATAAAAGGGAAGAGAGGTGGAGCTGAGGGTGGGGCTGTAAGGCTGGGATCAACTGATGACACCCGGTCGAACTAGCTACAAGCTAACCTGAAGCTAACCCAAAGCTAACGCGGAGGTGGGAGCCAAGCTAACGGAGGTAGCAACCTAGCTACAACTGGAGTTAACTGTGCACAACACCAGAGCTTCTGAAACCGGGTGGAACACAGAGGTCTCCGAGACCTCCACAAGCTGGCAGCTGCACAGCAGACAAGCGCCGCTGCACAGAGCTGCTGCGCAGAGCTGCTGCTGGGGAGAACCGGGTGGAACACGGAGGTTTCCCCAAAGATGCTGAAAGCCGGCAGCCCGTGCAGCAGACAGAAGCCGCGATCAGACAGAGATGCGCCGGGCTGCGGGGAGGGGAGAACCGGGTGGAAAACAGAGGTCTCCCGAGAGCTCCACAAGCCGATAGTCGGAACCCAGCTCCACCAACATGTTATATTTCAACCCATTTTCTAAAGTGCAGCATTATGTTAAATGCACTGGGTTTACCCTATTACATTTAAATGTCATGGTTAAACAGTACATGTTAAAATCTAAGCTCAGCTCGGCAGTGACCTAAAATACATAAATATAATTTTACTTACTGAAAAAAATGAAGTGGAGACTACTTGGACACGTTATTAGTGCAATTGATGCCACAGCAAGTCATTTTGTCCAACAATTGCACAAAAAATATCCAAAAAAGAATACACAAACACAGACTCAAAATCCCAGAACAGTTTCCAGGCCAGACCGAGGCTCAGACTGAGGCCTTTCCCCGGAGCTAGCTCTGTGGTCACGTGGGTCTGATGCTCATTAATTATACAGAATTTTAGGCTTTTAATACACTTAAACAGAAGAGTGAGAAAAAAATTCACCCCCCTCAGAGTTGTCATGACTGTAAACTAGATCATTTAAACCTAAAACATGTTTTGGTACCAGGCTGTAAACATGTTTATTTCTGCTGTGAAATTGGTATTTTTAACATGGGAGTCAATGAGGATTTGCTCGCTTCTGACACCAGCCCCCAGTGGATGAGGGTGGAACTGCAATTTTTGGTACTTCCGGGTTGGCCTCAATTTTTGAGCCGCATTGTGGGGGCTTGGGAGAAACACGCTAAAGTGGAGAGAGCATTACGGCTCTTCACCTGTTTCTAAAGTCTTTTCAGTCACACATCAACGATTGCATTTTGTTTTTATTCTTGTAACGATTCTTCTCAGTAACGCATCTAACATTGTTAGAAAGCCTGACTGTCACCTTTAGTGTGAAGTACATCTGGTAAGGATCATGCACCTGTGGAACGAACAACAGCTAAAATGTTCTAAAATCACTTAAAACATGCTCCTGCTGGTTTTCACTTGAGTTTCTAAATCCTCAACTAGTGTAATTTTCCCCACAATGTCGTATAAAAACGATCTTACCCGTTCCACCAAAAACGTGCATGTCGATCTGCTCCAGCAGACACATCACAAAAGTATTGACCTGAGGTAGCAACCCAAACAGGAAAATGACCGGGAAACACAAGGCAAAGACTGTTGGATGGAAAAGGAAAAAGAAATAAATGAAACCCACAAATTGTCCTTCATCAGGTTACAGAGCGTGAATAACCTCCAGACTAATGACCTCGAGATCTACCGCAAAGTTAAAGCAAAAAACTAACCAATCAGCATATCTCTGACAAACAGCAGGAAATGTGCCGAGAAGAAGGTGACACCATAGAGGGAGATGGGCTGCAGGCTTCCAGAACGCCCAGAGAGGTCAAAGATCCAGATCATCACACCGCAAAGGCAGAAGTAGACCGGACGGCTGTACACGATGATCCAGTTATGACCCTAGCAAACCACAGACGCATTCATGAGACTGTAATCCAGCTGTGCTTTCATTTCTACATTTCATATAGTCTGAGTTTCTAAAGGGAGTTAAACCAACAGCTGCTTTAGTATAAAACCTGAACTCACATGCATGGGAGAGGCCGCATCTGGTTGGACGCTCTGAAACAGAGGGTAAAGGTCAGGTTCTCGTGTGCATTTGACATTTTAAAATCTTAAGCAGGAATTCCGACAAGAAAATAACAGCACAATAGATTTGATGAAGCACACACCAGTATTGTGATGCTCCGACCTAGTGCAGGCATTCGTGACATATCTATGAAAGATATTTATACAAACTAGTAGTGATGCACCGATATGAAAGTTCTGGGTCGATACCGATATTAATTTCACTGTTATGGCCGATAACCGATATTTGCCGGTAGCGATATACGGACATTAATGTTTCTAAAATCAGCTATTTTGTATAAAATGAAAATTATTTAAGCTGAATTTATATTATTATGTACACACACCACACACTACGCTCACATTACACATCACCCCCCGAAACAGGCAAACAAATGGAGAGAAGATGGAAAAAATATTGGTTGTTAATATCGGTCCGGTTTTATTTATCAAACCGATAAGTGAAAAAATGACTAACATCGGCCGATACGGATATTGATGCCGATGTCCATCCCTACAAACTAGACTTTTGGTGAAATCCACAGGTGAGGTACCTTCAATAGGGAGTACTGGCAGCTAGCAATGACAAGGCAGAACTGGAAGACCCAGATGTCCCTGAAGAAGCCCTGCAGCAAGAGCAGAAATCCCAAGAAGGCTACTAGACTGGCCAGCACAACAGCAAACACGTTCTCCCCCACACGACGGTTCCTGCAGTCAAACACAGAAGAAATCAGGTTCCAACTCTTCATTTTACAGATTCAAAATTAAAAAAAAAAGTACCAAATTGAATTTAAAATGCTTTCATGTACTCTACACTTTTAAAGAGTTGTGTTGAAAACAACAGCTTCTCTCACCTGTCCAGTAACGCCAGCAGAGCAAGGCGATCATATCGGACCCTCAGCCACTTTCCAGGTACCACCCAAAAGCGATAGTACTGTTTTGGCTTGGCCTTCTCTTCGATCATCAGAGTGTTCTCATGAGATTCTTGAAGGGACTCGTGGTCAAGATCAAACTAGAAGCAACGTTTAAATAAAAAACTTCAGTAATTAAGTCCAATAAATAAAAACCCCAAAAAGATTTTGAACCTTGACTCTTCAGTAAGAAGAAGAATGAGAGCGTGCTAACCTCAGGCATCTCCAGAGGAACCCTGCGGACCTGCATGCCCTGTAAAATCACTGGTCTGGGCTGGAGAACGGAGAGGACCGGTGCTCCATCCTGAACCTCAGTGGAGGTGAAACTGGAGGACTGAGACTGCCTCTCTCTTTCCCTGTAAAGACAACCTTTAAGCTACAGGGTTTTTCTTGGGGGGGGGTCACATAACAGAACCTTTTTTACTTACTGAACTGGGTCTTCATAGCCTCCCCCAGCAGGTCCAAACGTGTAGGACCTCTTTACTCCTGTTACACAGCAAAGGAAACAGAAACACAATTCTCTTAGCAGCACAGAAGCAAACCTGGACCACTTTCAACAACAACGTTCAATTTCCAAAGACACAGAAAGTAATCTTCAAGTAAGATTAAAAGGAAAGGTCAGTTTGTGTTGGTGCTGCATGGTTTCCCGTCTTGAGGCGTGTATTTATTTCTGCTCTGCTGCATCTGTAATTTGAGGCTTTCCAGAATAAAAAAAAAGTGTTAAGACTTCTAGCGTAGGATGTAAAACATCATGTTTGTTCACTTTGGTCCAACAAATACGTGCCTATCTTGGCATAAAACAGCAGAAGCCCATTATGATAAAATCAACTCCTGGTCTTGGGGTGAAAAACTCAATCCCAGGGCTCTTTTGGTGTTCCTTCAAAGCCAGTGACTCACCACTCTCATCATAGAAATAGTGCACGGCTCCCTCTGATGTGTCGTCGAAGGTAGAGGCCTCGTGGATGCCAGTGCGAGGCAGGAGGAGTGAAGAAGCAAACTGTAAGGCTGAGGGAAGTGTGCGGGTGCGTGAATGTGAGGAGGTCCGAACTTGCTGAAGGTCCTGGAGGCTACAGATGAGAGACAAACATTCTAAGTGTCACAGCAGCATCCGATCGAATGGATGGATATGAGAGTTACAGACAGAGGTGAACAGTCGACAAAGAACCAGCTAAACCCCTCACCTGTGTGGGTTAACCAGACTCACCTGGGAGGGGATCCCATGGTCGAAGGTGGTGGTGTAGGGTTGCTCCCAGCATTGTGTCTCCTGCGGATTGCCTGGGTCCTCTTAACACTGCTGATTGTTTCATGCTTGTTCCCGTCGTCTGGACCCAAAGCTGCAGAGCGGTTATCAGTTACAACGGGGAGGTTCTAGCATCAGCAGCATATAAACACATCTAACAATATTCTGTTTAGCCAACTGGCCATTAGCCAATAGTGTTAGACATCCGCTTACGTGCAGACGGAGCATGTATGTTTGTGGATGTACCTAGACTGATGCCAAGCGAGCTTTCCTCAAGGACAAGTTAGTCTTTAGTATAAATATCAGTCCAGAAGAGTGCAGTTCTAGGAACAGCTAAGATACTGCGCCTCACAAACGAGAGGTGTTGCTGCCAGCCATGATCACGGAAGTAGGGAGAGGGACTAAAGGCGTGATAGCTTTTTCTACCTCTAGATGGCGCCCTCTGAGAAAACACTGTGGTTTTCTGCTTTAAAGGGTTAAAGGGTTAGTAGGGCATTATGCTCCAAGAACAGAAAAGAAAACTTCCATGTTCAAAAATATAATCTCTTTACAGTAAAAACGAGCAGCTTCACAAAACTCAAACAAACCCGAGCTAGTCATCATGAGCCATCGTTACTTGTTAGTTAGATTAGCAACCTTTTCTATTTTTTTAAGTGCAAATATTAAAAAAAAAAAAAAAAAACTAATCTTAGATGTTAAGCCAACAAGACACTCAACTCTTAACTGTGATGAAAATGATGAAGCAATTTTACGGCTGGTACAGGGGTAGGTAAACTTGGTCCTCGAGTGCCACTATCCAGCATGTTTTAGTTGTTTACCCGCTCCGACAAAATAATCAGTAGGTGATTAACAGGTTTCTGCAGAGCTTGATAACCTGGTTAACAGTTGATTTAACCATTCAATTGGGTGTGTTTGAGCAGGGACTTTTTCCACTATGCGTTCTTCAATCTGTTCTGGGTCTGCCGCTAAATATCCGTTTATTTCTTAACGGAGCTACAGCGGTGTCGGTCACGAATATACAGGAAGCGGTGTCTCCATCACTTTCGACGGATGTTTAAAATTTTGGGCACGTCTCCGTCACCCTCTGTGAGCCCGTCGGAGAGCCCTTGCGCCGACACATAATATTGTTGCGTGTCTCCACACCGACGCAGACAGAGAAGTATAAATCAGGATTTATACTGAGCCAGGATCCTCTGGAGGTTTCTTCCTGTTAAAAGGGAGTTTTCCTCTCCACTGTCGCTAAATGCTTGCTTAGTATGAGGATTGCTGTAAAGACTCTGACACTAGTCAGTGACTTGATGCAATTTACTGGGTTCCTTATTTAGGAAACTTTTTATTGATTGGCTTAATGAACTGACCTGTATTGGAATGTTTACTATGTGAAGTGCCTTGAGACGACTCTTGTCATAATTTGGCGCTATATAAATAAACTTGAATTGAATTATGTACTTTAGACCCGATTTTCATGGTTATATGTTATGAAGCCACCAATATTTTTCAACGATTGGACATTGTTTTAGTCATTTTCAACATGTCGGTGGATATTTGCAGAGATTAATAGTAAACCTACTGTTTTAAGCTAGCTTGTCAGTCATGGAGATTTACCTTTGTAGCTTAAATTACCTGTGTGTTAGAACAATAATACCTGTTTCAACCAAATAGCATAACTGAAACACATTTAAACCACTGATTACAACAAAACTAACCTCCACCCACAGCTCCCTCTTCGATTAACTCTCCGGCCCTCCAGCCCATCTGATTGCCGGTCCAGGACCCTCCTAAAGAATCCAGTCGATGATGATGACTTCCAGAAAAGCTATCGGTGTGCAGGGTGCGCGCCTCCAGGTCAGACTTCGACATGGTGAGAGTGCGAGGCGTTGGCGTGGAGGTGGATGGCATTGAAAGCAGGGTAGTGGGGACAGCCGCTGTGCTGCTCTGGCCTCCACCTGCTCCATCCATACTGAGTACTCTGGCGTGAGTCTTAGCACTAGCTGTGCTAGATGAGCGCTGAGCAGCACGAGGATGGCCGGAGCCAGAGGTTTCCAGTAAATCCCCCTCCCTCTGAGTAGGAAGTTGAGCAGCAGTGGAGAGAAGAGATGTAATGTCAGTGATAGCAAGATCTGAAGAGTAGCAGGAGGTAGAAGAACTTGTGTCGTCCTCATCGTCGTTCTCCTCATCTGAGCTGTACCGGCGTTGAGAACCCAGACTAGAACCAGCGCTCATGTCACTGCCGTCGTCCTCATCACTAGAGTCTTCAAACAAACTTTCACTGTAAGCTTTAGCCCCCAATCGGCTGCGCACTGGGAGGTAATCTCTGTGCTGTCTGTGATTGTGGTGACGCCTGTAAGAGCCACAGTCAAAACTACTGCTGCCCGCTCCAGCTCGCCTCCTTTCAGCTTTCCTCCGGCCAGGCCTGTGTCCGATGCTACCGCCACTGGCCCGCAGCAGCTTTAAGTCCTTGGGACGCACAACCTGCTGGGCCTGGAGAGCAGGCTGCTCCGAGAGCAGGAGGGGGATGGACGATATGGGAAGAGCAGGCTCAGAGCACACTAGACCCAGGGCCAGCCCTGAAGGCACTGAATTGGCCTGCCGTGGAGGGGGCAGAGGAGGACCTTGGACATTTCTGTCTAAATCACAAATCTCTGAGTGACCACTACTTGAAGGAGAAGAGTTTTGGAGAGGAGGGGGCCGTGCTATGTCAGCAGGAACAGGGGGCAAGTCGTCTCCTTCAACAAGTGTCCGGTCTAACCCCTGGCTGATAGATAAATCTTTGGAAGGGGAGCGAAGCAGCACACTGTCTGACAGATTGTCAGTATCACTGCCACCCTGTCCTGTTGTGTCCTCTACGTTGTTGGGAACATTGGCACCCATCGCTGGTGTCGAGGACACCTGTCCGTCTGCAGGCCGTGGCTGGCTGAATGAAGGACTTTCCAGCTGAGTGGAATCAGTCTTCTCACTGCGATAGCTGCTAACAGTGCTTAGTGTCTCACGGTCTGTTGTAGCTCCGCCTGCACTGAAACAACTGTCCGTGGATCCAGCAGCCATCGCTACCCCACTGCGGCTGCCTGGTTTCCCCGTGCCTGGTGCAAATGCTCCTGGGTCCAAACCTAAACCCATGAAATTTTCACTTAGCTCATCACTTAAGCTGCTCTTTATAAGGGGGCTAAGGGGAGTATCCCCCAAGCTCTCCGATTCAGCTGAAGGACCAAGTGGAGAATAAGATCCCATCCCATTGTCCTTGGGGTTCGGATGAGACAATTCTTCTGGCAAATCCTCTGGCTGCTCCTTCTCGCCTCCATCTTCTTGACTTGAAGGTGAAGGGGGAATAGACAAGCACTCTCTACGTACTTCAAGTCCAGCTAGCACACCAGACACTCCCATGAGATGTGGACCATCACCTCCCAGAGAAGTAGGGATGCAGGACTGTACTGCAATGGCAAGCAAGAAATGCAAGTCAGAACATAACACACTTTGAAGGGCTAAAACTTTATAACTCTGCTATGTGACATTAAGAAAAGTTAAAAAATAATCCCTCATAAACGGATTTGCGTGCGCGTACTAGTATGCTTTGAGCTTGTGTTATTTTATGCAGGCGAGAATAGACATTAATCAGAATGCAATAAAGCTCACTGCAGATCAGACCAAAATAATAACAGACTTACCTTGGGTGTCGTAGGAACTCTGACGTAGAATCTCACGATGGGCTGATGTCACAATTACATTATTGCTTCCTTGTGCCTGCGTTAGTTCTTTGAGGTCTGAAATAAAACAAATGCAAGTAAATGTATGTCTGTAATAGCCTAGAAATCTAGCAACCAAAGCAAAATCATTTTGCTTTGCAGGTCGGTCTAGCCATGCTCCACTGGAACCTCAGCAGACCCAAATAGTCTGGTCCTTGCTAATCACAGCGCTCTATCGGTTAGGTGGGCGGGATGTTACACCAACAAGAGTAAAAAAACAATAAGCTAGAACCTTGTAAAATTTTACGAAACTATTCTTGTTTCATCTATTGGTGCAGCCTAAAATGCTGCGAGTGATAACCATGCTGATAAGATTGAATTTTGTTGCAATTTAACTCAATTAACTGGCAACTGACAAATAAAAATGGTGGCCAATGGGGACGCGCCGTCGTCTTGCCCCCCAGTTTCTGGCTGGGGTCTTGAGCATGTGACATCATGTGTCATGGGGATTATAGTCACATGTAGAGGATGGCTTGTCAGGTTACTTCTGTAAGGGTAGTTTAGGAGAAAACATTGGGTTTTCTGTAGCATTCAGGGAAGTTAAATAAAAATGCTTACCTTTAGTCCCTCCTGCATCCTCCAGCTGAGGCAAAAACTCCTGCAGAATCAAATACATGACATTAAAGTAGCAGCCTAGAAATGTAGGCCAACAACAGCAGATTCAAAAGACTTTCTGCTGCAGCTCGGTCTAGCCACGCTCCATTGTAGCCTCAGCAGGTCTACCACTAGCCCAAGTAGTTTAAGGTCCAGCCAGTAACAGCTTCTATTGGGCCATTCCCATCTGTACCGGGTCGGCCCGGGCCGGGTAGCGTAGGTTGTTTACATATCTGGGTGGCCTGGTATTTTTCCAGGCCAACCAAGGCTCATTCTCAGCCCTCTTCTCGAGGGGGTCTGCTTCAGGCCGACCAGGGCCAACACACCCACTGCTGACAGCAAATTCACACCTTCCATTAGAGCAAGCCTCTGATTGGTGGGTAGAATCAGCCCACATGGGCTTAAGGCAAGGATGTGTGGAATCAACCGGGCCAGGCTAGGGCCGACTGGGGCGTCCTGGCCCGGGCCGACCCGGTACAGATGGGAATGGCCCATTAGTTTGTAGAGACATGCTGGGCGGGCTTAGCACCACAGCCGTGTTTAAGAAAAACTACAAATATGGCGTCAACTCAGAAACGACACTCAGTTGAAATGGCTATGCCATCAACTTTGGACAATTTAAACTCTCACTTTAATTTTAAACATGAGCAGATAGAAGAACTTTGGTCCTTTATTTTGCAAAATAATGCATTTGGCTTCTGGTTCTTCTACTATGTATGGTGGACTGCCCTGTTGACTGATTTACGTAGCAATGAATACATCATGTTGTTCATTAGTTTGAAAGACAACCGTAGATTCTGCCCCACAACTGAGCACTTTCTATGGTCTTTATAGGATGGCTTGCCAATCAATCGAAATAGTTCACTTAACAGCTATAGAACTGCAGAAGACATAATTGCTCTACTAAACAATAGCTAATTTAGCAGCGTATGAGAAATGATGAAAAAAGTGGAGAGAAACAAATGCAGCAATCCTCACCGACACTTGGTTTAATCCAAACAGAGAATGCTGGGAGCTGCAGCGAACAGGAGGTGTCGAGTCAACCTTCCGAAACACAGTCATCTCTACGCCGACATGACTATCCCTAAAAAATAAAACACACAAAAAACATATCAAAAATGCTCAGAGAATGCAGCTTTTCTATGTAAGGAATAATCCAGAAAGAACAGCTTACCTGTGCTGATTCCCATCATGAGCTCCTGAGCCTTCATCTCCTTCTTCTGTTCTTGGAGCATCAGCTGTGAGTGATGCCTGTTTTTTCTCCACAATCTCACCAAGGTCAAACATAGTATGCAGACGGAAGTTCACCACCTTTATGGCCGTGAAAAAGACTGCAACCACAGCTGAGTATGCACCCGCCACCACCAGGCTAGGTGGAAGAGCCTGGAGAAGGGTTTAAAATACAATAAACAATTATTTAACAATGATGGAAATTCAGCTAAAGGAATCTGATGTTTCTTCCAGTGATGCTAAATTTAAAGAACTACCTTTAAAGCGCAAATCTGGAGTTTTTTTTTTATCAGAGGGCACCATCTTTAAACAGAAAAATGTACTGCACCTTAAGCCTTTCTCCCTACTTGTGTGTACGGCTTTGTTCATGAACGCACACTTCTAGGCAACCAACAGAGGTAAAGCACATTGTTTTACAATTAGAATTTTCACATTATACTTTTATATATATATATTTTTTTTTAAGACTTGCTTGCCCATAAGAAATGTTGCCAATTTAGCTTTGTTAATGCTCACACCCACCCTGACATTTGTATGTAAGCATATGTCTTAACGCTATTGGTTAATGCTTAGAAGCACTCAATTCAAATTGCACGAGCTCTACAGGACGGGGGTGGGCTTAGCAAAAAAAAAAAATAAATAAATTTAAATAAAACTGACGTATTTCTTAAATCATATGACAGTACAAGGTAAGACTATCACTTTTACGTATTTCTACAAAACATCATACATAACTTCTAACAGATTCACAAAGAGAAGAAATCTTTGAAAGACCTGAAAAACTATTTAAATGTTTTAAGCAGGTTGCAATGTTAAAAGTCCAACTACTAGGCTAGACTATCACAATGAAGCATTTAACATCAAAAAATAAGAAAAGGAAAAGTGATTCTGGTTTTTTTTGGTAAAGCTTTTATGTCAGATAAAGAAAAATTAGAAACCATTTTAAAAGTTTATTAAATTGCTCTGAAACGGTCCTTACCATGTACAAAAGGAAGGGGAAAGCCAAGAGAAAAATCCAAAGGTACAGGTGGAAGCAGTTGGAGAACGTACTCTGATGGGGGTCCACATACCAGCCACCTGTTAGTGAAGCCCACACACCCTGCCGCAATATCTGAAGAGCTTGGGAACCCATCTCCACGTTTGGATTACACAATAGCTTCAATATTAAAAACACTGCGCAGTCGTTACCATCACCACGGTAACCTGAGTCTATGATGGCACTTCTTCTGAGGAGAGCATGGTGACCAAGACTGTTTCATCAAGGACAACAGTTCTGTGTGGTGGTGTATATATATAAAGGTGTCAGTTGTGGGTGAGAGTCCTTGCATATTCTTCTGCCAGCACATGCACCCTTCCTGTGTCAATGCTGCTACACTCTATCCTAACCCCCGCTGGGTCATCTGGAAGGTGACTTTTTGGCACATTGGTATCCCGCTTATTATATATGGAAAAATTCATCTGTAAGACAAAACAAAATGTGTTACCATATATCTAGCAACCTTTCCAGAGTCATTTAACTTTACATTCAGATTTGTATCTCGTTTATCTTAGGCGTTTTACACATCATAAACGAGTAAAGTAGATCAACAGTGATGATCAGTTAACCAGCAACTAGTACTGGAACAGAAAACATACAAAACAGGCACTGGCACAGTCGGTAAGACAATCAAAACATCTGCAGGCAGACGCCTTTGTGGGGACAACATATGTCTGGTATTTACATTTGGTATTTGCGACAGGATGACGGAGCAGAAACAAAACATTTGTTGTATCCAAACCAGTGCTACGTCTCAGATTAAGTTTTCAGATTGGCATTAGCAGGCTAATAGACAATTTAACTTAGTTTATAGAACTCAAAAGACTTTCTGAGACTCCAACTCCATCGAGCAGGGCCTTTAGTCAGCAGCAGTCTTAGTAATGTTAATAATTGGGCAATGCTCTGATTAGATGACTAAATAGTATTAGTATTCTTAACGCTAGTTAGCGGCTAATGCTAGGCCCAGTAGTCTAAACTATGTGAAGTACCTCCCGTTCATGAGATACATTTAACAAGACAGCTCTGAGATATCCACCAGTCAGCTACGGAGTGACTTTAGCGAACGTTAGCTCAGGCTAAGTTGACAGAGAAAATATTGTGCTCACAGTGAATTTCTTTCTGATTTTGGATCCCAGCATAGCTCACAGTTAGCATTAGCCTCTCAGATTGCCTCATATTCTCCTTCCGCATCCAGTTCTTGTAAAATCTCAAGAGGTTTCCTCTTCAGGATGCCAGCGAGGACGGTTGTTTAACTGAAGCCTCGCTGTTTTTTGGCGCTAGCTAACTTACTCCTGTTTTCTCAAAGTCCGACATCATATTTGGCATTAGAGGGTGACCGACATGTAACAAGAGAGGCGATTCCGTATGTTGACAGCTGTTTCCTGGCATACACGGAGCCTGGGTGGAAATGTTTCAGCGGGCTAGCTTACCGAGTCGCTAGCTCGAGCTAGTTGGTTGACACGCGCACGTAGGCACGCAAATACACTAAAAATCATCAGTTTGTTAAGTCAGCATAAAGAAAATTGGGAAAATAATCATAATATTCAATGAAATATTTTTCGTCCAAGAATTAAAATTATTTAAACTGACATCAACTGGTAGTTTGATCAGCATAACCTTTAGGACTCATTCAATTTCTACACAGCACATTTGGTATTTACTTTTCCTGATTTTAATTCTTGGCACTTCCGGTTTAAACAGGAAGTGCCAAAAACAAGGTCAAAATATATATTTTTTTAATTTTCAACTATTGGTTTGGGGTTTCTGTTTGTTGAGTAAACTACAAAAAGCAATGTATTGAATATAAAGTGCACAAGGACTTTGGACTTCTGCAGCAGTATTCACTTCCCCTAATCTTTCCTTATACAAGCCATTTTGCACTAGCACCTACAGCAGGCCACATGGGGGCCCTATGTAGGAACCATTGACACACACACACACACACACACACACACACACACACACACACACACACACACACACACACACACACACACACACACACACACACACACACACACATATATATATATAGTGGTGAGCTCAGTCACGGAGGAGACAGAGGTTTCTTTGGGAGCACCCGTTTAATCTCACACTCCTCAGCGCGGCCACAGCAACAACAACAACAAAAAAAGGCGCATTCTCACCGGAAAAACAGTCGCTGAGAGAGCGCGTCACTCGTCACCATAGCAACATGACAACAAACACATAATTGTAATAACAGAACAAACCCCGAACAGCCCTGGCCCGCTACACAGCCCCCACCGGGGTCAGCCGTCCCCGACAACCCCATTACCCCACACAAAGTCCTGCAAACGTCAAGGTGCCTTCTTCTGGTGCACTGGCCGGTCTCGACAGGCGGGGGAAAAGTCACTCGGGTCAGAACATGGGGTGCTGCTAGCATCCCCTGCCCCGGTCTCAGCCTGAGCGAGCGGTCGATACAGCGAGAGTCTGTCCTGGTGCAACACCACCAGGCGCCCCCGGCCCGGCATGCGAACACGGTACACCACTTCTGTTAGCTGCTCCACGACCTCCGCCGGCCCTTGCCAGTGACTGCAGAGTTTGGGGGACACTCTTCTCTTGCGAACCGGGCAGTACACCCAAACCTTGTCACCAGGCGAGACCCCCCCCCCCCCCCCCGGCACTTAGTGTCGTAGGCTCTTTCCTGTCGCACTCCGGCGCTGGCCTGGGCCTGGCGGGTGTAGTCATGAACCACCTGCAGCCGCTCCCCTAGCCTCCTGTAGTAGTCCATCGCTGGCCCACCGTCAATCTCCGGCTCGGGGGGGTGGGGTGGGGGTGGGGGGGGGCAAACACCAGATCCACGGGTGTCCGGAGCTCCCGTCCAAACATCAAAGCGGCAGGTGTGCACTGGCTGGACTCCTGAACCGCAGTCCGATACGACCAAAAGACCAGGGGCAGATGTTGGTCCCAATCTCGCTGGTGGCAGCCGGTGAGAATGGCGAGCTGGGTGGCCAGCGTACGGTTAAAGTGCTCGACCAAGCCGTCACTTTGCTGGTGGAGTGGTGTGGTTCTCGTCTTCTCCACCCCCAGCCGCCGACAGATCTCCTTGAAGACCTTCGATTCAAAGTTACGCCCCTGGTCGCTGTGGAGCTCGGCCGGACCCCAAACTGGGTGAACATCTCCTCCAGCTTCTCCGCCGTCGTCGACGCACTCTGGTCCGGCACAGCGTAGGCCTCCGGCCACTTTGTGAAATAATCCATGGCCACCAACACGTGCCGGTTCCCTGACTCCGTAAAAGGGAAAGGCCCTAGGACGTCCACACCCACTCACTCCATCGGGGCCCCCACCAGGTACTGTTGAAGAGGGGCAGTGGACCGTTGAGTTGGACCTTTCTCTGCCGTGCAGGTGTCACAACAGTGAACATGAAGCTCCACATCCCGTCGACAGCCAGGCCATTAGAACCGTCCTCTGAGACAGCGGAGAGTTTTGGCATTCCCATAGTGGCCGGCCCCCACCGAGCCGTGGACGAGCTCGAGCACCTGCGACCGCAGCGACCGAGGCACCAACAGCTGCAGGAGATCTCTGCCCTGCCCGGGGACCCGCCATCTCCGGTACAGGAGGCCGTCGTGGGTCTCCAGGTTGTTGTACTGGGAGTAGTAGGTCTTCACTTCGGACTCCTGTCCCGACACCCCCGTCCAGTCGGGGCGTTGCGCCGCCTCCAGCCAGGCCCCCACCTGCACCAACATTGCATCGGCCTCCTGCTCCCTCTTCAGCTGCTGTGGGGCCAATGGGAGCCACCCCCTCCACTGGCTGTGGCCTGAGCAGCAGCCACACCCAGCGCCTCCTGGACCCGCTCCTCCTGTCGCAGACAGTAGCGTCACTCAACGGCCCTCTGCTAAGTTCCTCTGATATACTGAAGACAGTAAAGATGGAACAGTTAATTCATTAGATGCTACAGCATTGTCAGATAGAGACCGACTATAGTGAAATTTACTTTCATGTCTGGAGAACTCAGTTATATATATATATATATATATATATATATATATATATATATATATATTGGCTGAGTTTGCGTGAATGGGCGGGGCTGACTCTGGTGCAGCTCCATCTTATGGTGCAGCTCCGCCTTTGTGGTTCTGCAGCGAGCACCCTCTCAAAACATTCACCTCCCTCAGAGTTGTCATGAGTGTAAACTAGATCTATTAAACCTAAAACAAGTTTTGGTACCAGGCTGTAAACATGTTTATTTCTGCTGTGAAATTGGTATTTTTAACATGGGAGTCAATGAGGACTTGCTCACTTCTGACACCAGCCCCCAGCGGATGAGGGTGGAACCGCAATTTTTGTTACTTCCTGTTTGGCTTCATTTCCAGACCCGAATTATGGGGGCTTGGTCCGGACACAACACCGGATTTGGCAATATAGAAATAAACTGAATTGAATTGGTTTCATTGGTGTTTTTCCAAGTTTAGTCACCTTTGGCATTCTGTAGAGCCACTTCCACTCAGTCTACAGTTCCTGGCACAAAGTGGTGAATATTTAGGACAACAACTATATTTCAATATTACCGACCTAAGAAATGAGAAAGAATGCACATGACGATGAATGAACCCTGCCTTGTGTGACCAGCGGTTGGTTGGACAGATGTCATCTGCTTCTGTTGTTGTAGCTCTTTAGTCAAATTAACCCGGTGACATCTTTGTGATTCTCAGAAGTGGCTTATCTTGTCTTGTAGCAAACCTCCCTGATACCCTCTGTCAGCACGAATCACTCCTCACCTGCACTGGACCTGTACTGACACCACACCTCTGCAGTCCACAGGACAATTCTCATCAGTCTCAGCACAAAGACACTGACAAGACAAGCAATCCCGCTGGCTTAAAATATAGCTGCTTTAAATTCTTGTCCAAAGTGATAAACCTCTAGAGCAGTGATGGCTGCTACAGCCTCCAACCAAACTGAAGGAGCAGTCTCCATCTTACAGTACCTCATGGTCTCAGCAGGGGGGTGTCCAACACCAAATGCTGCCAAACTTATGGGTCTGTGAAAACAATGCTGCTTCACACAAACACAATCAACAACATGGGACTCAGACAATGAAACTATATTTAGATTTAACATGTAAAACCAGCTGTTTTCTCTGCATCTTCACTTTCTTTTCATCCTTTAAAGTGGTTTTTGATCCATAGTTTTCCAGACCTTCTGAAACATTCTAAAATAGTCAGAACATTCAGATTTTTTGGTGTTTATCGACCCTTTTAACAAAATCCACAAATTATTTTTTGCAAAATCATGTCGTTCATGAGATATTTTTTGTATCGCATTTGATACGGTGGGTGTCTTTGGCAACTTTTTGTTAACATTAATGTTCATTCTATACAAAAAAAATGTCCTTCACATTTTACAATTACAGAACATATTTTTTCAATTTTTTTTTCACCAAACACTTTTTACAGCCTTTTCATTTCACATTGTGGTTGTCATGAGCCGGGGTGAGTACTCCTGTCATTTTCCACCTCTGAGCTGTGTGTTGCAGGAGAGGGAGGTTATCAGCTGCATCTCATTGGCAAGCAGTGGGCTCGGCTACATAAGGAGGAAGGAGAACACACCTTGGCGCTGGATGATTACTACAGCTTGGTAGTTTCCTCCTAGTGATTCTTGGTTTTTGTGCTCTCATGTCTCCTGGATTATTGTGAGCTTTGGATTTTGTGATTACCCGTCTCCAGGTTTTTGGAACGTCTCTGAGTCAGCGACTCCTCAGGATTACTCACCCATGCTTCATAGGATTTCTGGACACAGCTCTCCACCGTTCTCCATTCCTCCTTACTGACTCGCTCACTTGCCCTCCTCACGCTCCCTCTCCTGGACCCCTCTCTTGGATACACTTTGGCTCTCAACCTGCCCTCCCTCATCCTGGTTCTTCCCCATCTCCCAGTAAGTCTTTTCTCTGCACCCACCAAGTTAAGACTTACCTCCCTGGACTCACCTCTATCTGCTCTCCCCCCTCAGACGCTGCACTCCCGTCGATTCCCCACTGGACTTACCTTGTGCACCTTCAGTTCCCGTTATAACATTTTTTTTTCCTCAGTCCGTGAGTTGTTGTGATTCTGCATGTCTTGGGTTAGACGTATTCCCCAGACCATGACAGTGGTAGGCAGAAAAACCGTTTCTTTCCTTGTTCAGGCAAAGATGCACCTTACACTTCCCACAGTAGACATGTGAAAAGTGATTGCCCGTGCACTGCTTGCATCTCTGTCGGGTTTCCCATGTAGGAAAATGGTCCATCCCACCCTTTCTCACATCAGGAGGTACAATGCAGCGTGGCCTTTTACGGAGCGGTGTAGGAGTCGCCTCAGCAGAGGATAATGGCCTACCACACTTGGCCTTTTCTGCAATTGTGAGAGAAGTAGCAACCAAAACCTGAAACCTTCGCAAAGCCATGTGTTTCTCCTGGGGCTCA